GTACGTTATAAGGGATCTCATTGTAGATCGTTGTCTCGATGGAAAATGTAAAAAAAAAATAAAAAAAAATTTTTTATTCCATATTTTCGACACTTCTTTTTTCGCGTAGAATTATCCCCTTTCCGCTTGTACCACCAGTTACCAACCACCCTGTATATATGTATCTCATTTAAATGTATGTATTTCATATTTCTATACTCTACATATTTTATTTCTATATTTATGTTTATGTAAGTTATTAGTAAGAAATTGTTGCGATAAATATTGTCTCGTATATGAAATTTCTTTCACAGTTTAGTTTATTTCATTCACCATAAATTAATTATTTGAATGGTGAAATATAGTAATAAAAAAGTTACGAGTCTGGGAGTGGTTCTTGTAATAATATTTTTCAATGATTTTTAAACCTATTATGTGTTATACGAGGAAGCTGTATTTCAATTATGTTACTGAATTTGATAGACTTACGGGTTTATAACGGATCATAAACTCTTTCGCGAGAGTCTACATCATCATGTTGGAAACTATCGATCAGCTATTGTATATCTACCAGCAGCGTAAACTTTTGAAGTCGGGGCAGTAACCAATCAGGGAATTAATTTCCACGGGCAACCAATGCAAACAAAAGTTTATTACAAAAGCTCTCTTGTACTTCACTTTCTCGGCTACGAACTTCCAAAGTGTCTTTCCCGCTAGTTTTTGGAGAAATCAAGGAAAACCAATTTACGTAGGTAAATCAAAGACGAAGTAGTAGATGATGATAAATAATTCTAATCGTGCAATGTAGATAATGAATTGTTATGCTATGCATATTACATAAAGTTTATTATATTATTTTGCAAATTTTTAAAAGTATATGATTGCTGTTTTTCCAAGATCGTCGATACCAGGCCACGAGTATTTGGAGGCAGATTACGAGTGTGCTCCAGGGTACTACATGGTGAGCACAATAACTAGACTACTTTGCAGAAATCGTCAATGGGTAGGGCAACTTCCAAAGTGCAAGATCAAAGCAAATTTTGAAGGTGTGTGTATCGACGCTTCTTGTGACCATGTTTGCAAAGAAGTCGATGGCAGGCCAGTATGTTCCTGTTACAAGGGTTTCCGGTTGGAAGATGATAAATGTATCGGTGAGTTATGCTTGAGTGTCTTCGCTTTATTTGGATATAACCAAGCTGTGGATATTTATGCATATTGTATAATTCATATTTTTGCAGACACAGATAAGAAATTGAAACTTGAATATAAAAGAATGCTTTATTCTCCAAATGCAGACTAGTCATAGATCCATAAATATTCACAATCTAGACGTAATACTTAACTGACCATGTTTATATGTTTTATCTGTTATTCTATCAAAATGTTTTTTTTATTGTATTGGTTATTAGCATATTTGGTCGATGAACAAAAACGGCTACTTGAATTCAATATTTAAAATTTTCAATTTTCAATATTACATATTTGGAGTATTTAACGTTTCAAGCATAAGGTAATCGAATCATAATGCTTGATAGAAATTATGTGTTTTTATAGCTTGAATTGCGTTTATTACACATTATCAAGCATATATGGAACGCTTAACCACATAAATCAGAGACTATATCACGTTCATCTTTGTATTCAGCGTTGCGTAACAAATTGTTTCGAAACGTTAATCTCCTATTCTATTTGCTAGTGATTAAAATGTAAAAAGCTAAAAATCGGAGTATATTGTATGCACGAAAATGGACAATTAAGTGTTAAAATATTCTTTAATCTTTTAAATAGAAGCAATAATCTTTTCATTTTTTAAATTTATGTTCGTTCATTCTAATTTACATATTTTATATTTTACTATAATTTTAGTTTATCGATCAGGTGATTTTATTGATTAATATTTCCAGAACAAGATTTTATGAGATCATTACTCGTGAGAAGCGCAAAACGTTCTCGATGTCGACATGTTGTAAAATAATCATAACATTTTGCGATCTAATAATATTTTGATAGTCCACCGGTTCGAAGATTTCTTCTACGTTTTTATCCCTCTCCTTTTTCTTTCTCTTTTTTTTTAAGCGGTATGAATACTAAAACGTAGAAACGATACCGTTTTTCCTCGGAAGACGAGCTGTCGAAGCGGTGAAAAAGAAATGTCTCAAGATGAAATATCGACAGGATACTCGTTGAAATATTGACGGCTTCCGCATTCTGTAGGAGACAAGTTCTTCCTGTCTGTATTAAAACATCAACGATTTCGTTTCTGAAATCCTTTCTTGTTTGCCCGTGGAATGTATTACTGTCCGTTTCTCATGAAACTGAAGGGCGATTATAAATTTGTATTTCAAAGTTCGTTTGTATGTCCTGAAATGAAAGGGATATCGACAATGTCGTACTGTTTTTATTTCTTTCTTAATGTTTCTCGCGTTTATTGCAAGATAGATTTTAATTTCAAAAATGGATTCACAAGCTGTTTTTCGATATTAATCACGTTGGTTCAGTTTAAAATGTCAAAAGAAACAAAGAATCAAGAATAAATTTTTTAAATGAAAATATTTCTCTCGGGAAATTTCTTTAAATAAAAATTATCATCATATATTCGCGATAATTAAATGTAAATGGGATTATAGAATTCTCGAGTGAAAATTGTATTAAAAGCGTAGGAAAATACAAATTGAATGAAAGTTCGTTGATTTAAGTTGAATGAGAAAGTAGTTTAAATCAAGCATAAATTCGAATTAACGGATTCTTGGAAAAATTAGCTTGTAGCGAACGGGGAAATGTCGTTAATCTAGGCGAATCGTAAAGACAGATAATCCGAATTAGTTAAAAGTCCAGCTTAACCGAGTCTAGTAAAACAAAGTTCCACTCAATTCGACGAGGTATACATGTATATACGTACAAAATAAAAGAATCACTGACTCGAATAAATTGGAGGAACAAGGAATACGAATAGAATGAAACGTTGAAGTAACTAAATTTCTATCAACGAGATTCAGTGTATTTACATATTCTTCGGAAATGTTTTTCCCCATTCAAGGATTTTATTTTATCTTTTCGAATCTTGTTCGTATCATTCCACATCATGTAGATTGTATCAAGTTTTCGAGAAAATTTTAACGAAATAATAAATAAGAAATAAGAGCTATTTATTTAAAAAACAGATTTCTCTTACTATTGAAACGATGATATTTTTGGAAATAATCAAATGAAAAGTCAAGAAATGCCATATGCGTAATTTTTTTTAAATATCGTATAATATTAAATCTAGGGCTATTACATTAAAACTATTTAGCTTGTACACAGGGTGGTTGGTAACTGGTGGTACAAGCGGAAAGGGGATAATTCTACGCGAAAAAAGAAGTGTCGAAAATATGGAATAAAAAATTTTTTTTATTTTTTTTTTAAATTTTCCATCGAGACAACGATCTACAATGAGATCCCTTATAACGTACTGCACGCGTACCGAGCGAAAATTTAAAGTCGATTTTCTCGAAAACAAAGTCTCAAACGAAAAATTTTTATTCTATATTTTCTATTCTATATATTCTATATTTTCTATTATTCTATATTTTGAGGTTTAGGTGACCATCTTGGGTCATCAGCTATAAAACACGTGTTCGTTGTAGCGACACTGAAGACCAGAGTTTTCTTATACCAAGAGTATAAGGACAACTTGATGAACATAATGAGTCAACAACTAGCAAATACTCGGCGGGTTCGCTGGCTACGCTCGTAAAGGGCGTATGCGGTAGTAGGAGGTCGCGAGTTCGAGACCACTCTTGGGCGAGCCAAGTGGAAAACCAAATATCATCTAAGAAGTATATACAACGGGCAAGTGGGTTTCCCGACCGCCCTTGCCTACTATGTTGTTGTGCTTTCTATGAGTGTTTGGGAAGTACCCCCGGAGATCGGTTTCACTCGTTGCGGACTACTACACCTAGGCCCGACCGATTTTTTTAGCCGATA